TCCCTCCTCTTCATTCTGCTAAAAGTCTTCAAGAAACAGCCCCTTCACATCCTTCAAACTCAGCCCCAAAGCCATCCAAGAACATCCAAGCCAAACCCGCCGAAAATCCGCCGGAGAGGAGAGGGAGAGGAGAGGGCCTTTTGGCTGATGTTTTGGTGTGAAGAAAATGTGAAGAGGAGGGGTTCATTTATAGGGGAGATGAGGCCCTTATTTGCAATATAAAAGACATTGGGGTTTTATTAGCAATTTGGGAGAAAAATACATTGGGGCTCCTTAGCAATATAGAAGAGAAGAGGGGAGTCTTTAGTAATTAATACACTTAGGGAATAATTCACACACACAAAACATACGGTCACATAACTATTAATTATTAGCATTAACCCATATAATTCACATAAATTCAATATGAGGCCAAATAGAAATTAGTTATCATGTCACAACTTATTAAATCTCATATTATCCTAATAGATTAATTATCAACTAAAGCACATCATTAAAATCCATGGACTAAAGCACATAATTCATTAAATCACATAATTAGAATCAACTACTCAATTAATAATAATGCCTACTTCTAAAAATACTATAATGTATCTAAATCACATAAACACATAGAGAGCGTATAAATTGCTACTCGATTCATGAAATGCACGTATATTCGTATTTACTATATGTTCATATTAGTATGCATATTAGTATGAATATTAGCATTATGATAATGATGCATATTAGTATTAGTATTATGATTAGAATTATTATTGAAAATTAGTATTAATTTTAGCATTAACATTAACATTAGCATTATCATATTAGGAATAATATTAAAATTAGTGTTAGCATTAGCATATTTGCATTTCTATAATGATTAGAATTATGATTCGTGTCATTATTAGAATTAGGATTATAAGTAGAATTAATATTAGAATTCATATTAGCATTACCATTAGGATTAGGAGAATGATTATAATTAGGATTAAAATTATGATTGAAATTAGTATTAGGATTACAATTAGGGTTAGCATTAACATTAGTGTTAGGATTATGATTAGTGTTAATACTATGATTAGGATTATCATTAGAATTACTAATAGTTATAGTATTATTATCAGATTAGTCTTAATATTAGTATATTACTATTAGTAATGGTAATGGTAATAATGGTAATGGTAATGGTAATGGTTGATATTGGTATCAATATTGGTATTGGTATTGGATTGATGTTAGTATTGGTAATGGTAATGATAATGGAAGTGGTAATGCTAATGATATTGGTATTGGTGATGGTAATGGTAATAGTAACGGTAATAACGAAAATTGTCATGGTAATTGTCATGGTAATGGTAATGGTAAGGGTAATGGTAATGGTAACGATTGATAATGGT